AGGGTGCCGCTTGCATACCGTGGTTCGGTGAAGCGGAGTGAGAAGCTTTAGTAGTGGTAGTGGATGGCCGGAGGAGACGACGACGATGACGACGATGACGGCGACGACGGCAGCGGCAGCGGTGGTGGTGGTGGTGGCGGCGGCGACGACGACGAGTGGGGCAGGGCAAAGTGGAGCTCAGAAGCGGCGCCGCTTTGATGTAGACACGCTCCGCGTCTCCTTCACGCCAATAAACTAACGGTTAGGTTAAGCCGTCTCTTTAAGCCGTAATATCATTATCCTTGCCTTGTGCCCTCGGCGCAGCACGACGTCGACGTCAACGTCAACGTTGCTTTTGTCGCCGTAGCCGCGTCGCGCTTTCTTCGCGTAAATGTCAACGCGTGCGTTTCTTGCGTGCTTCCGGAAATACGAGTGCATGGCACAGTCCGTTAGAGAACAACGATACGTGGTATATGCTTTAAAGATTTGTACGGTGTAGAAGCGCAGGGATGAGAGTCCGATAGAGTCGGCATAGATCAAAGCCCCAAATGGTCGGATCTCAAAATGTCAATGGCACGTTAAATATCCGACTCTTCGTTACGCCAACACAGCCCGATCGGATACACACACATACACATATAGTTCTGTTCCGAGCCGAAAAATTCTCTTTCAGCTTCGGCGATCGATTCGACTAAGGGAACACCCGGTATACGAAGTACGAGCAGGCCATCGACAGTGCGGCACGGCGCGGCGGGCAAGGAACGGGCCGAAGAAAAAGCACCGCGACCAGTCGAAACGGAAACACCGACCGCAGAGAACCACCGCGGCACGAGAAAACGCACGGCTGCATCCGCATCGCCGGCTACACGCGCTCGTATGCGTTTGCGGACTTCGTAGCCCACTTTTAATGAACCAAGTCTTCAAAGACATCAGCGTTTCGTTCGGGGTGACATATTACATGTAATTTTTGAGCTTGAGATTTTTTTAAATCACATTTCGAAATTCAGTTCAATCGTAACGATGTACCTGTAATTTTTAAATAAACGATACGGTTATGATTTCGACAGCTATGTCAAATGACATCTGTTTCCAGTTCCAAAAAGTCCAGAAAATCTCTCATAAGTTTACCAAAAATATCGAACTTATTTAAAATGTTTTCTAATCTTCGAAGTTCAATACTTACTTCAATCAAGATTATTAAGTTAAAACAAATCGATTTGCTTAATTATACATATAAAGTCGGTTCTTCGATCGATTTTATAATATTCTGAAAAAGAAAATTAATTCTTGTTTCAAATACATAATAATGAGTTTTCCTAAAATTCGCAATAAGTATATTTTAAGGCTATTATCAAGAAGCTATTCTTCGTAAAAAGATAATCGTTACTTAGAAAAAAGTAAACTGAGTTAGCAGTTTTCTTAGCAATGAAATGATACGTATCTGTATTTTTTATGATTTCTAAACTCTAAATAACAAAGATTACAGCAGAAAAAATAGCTTTATAACTATTATAAGATTCTTTAATATGATTGAAATTGAATTTGACAACAGTTGCAAAATTCAATTGCTCTTTCCGCTACTAAATGCAGTCGATGTTTCTTTGATTGACAATTTAATTTATCGAAAGTAGAGTATGCGCTTTAAGAAGCATGACGAAGAGCGGTAAAATAATGATGTTTTAAACGCGAGTTATTTTAATGGACTCGCGAGAAAGTCAACAAAAAAGTTCTCAAAATATTTTAGTCGACAGCAGTTTAATTAAATATAATCCTGTTAATTTTTAACGATAGTTTTAATAAAATGAATACATCTTAAACGTTTTAATAAAATGTTATATAATATCTATTTCATTAAAATAAATTATTGAACTAACATCATGATTATTTTTTAATTAAACTGCTGTTGGTTAATCCCGTAATACATCTTTTTTTTCCGTTTAACATGCTCATTCTTCACGGATTTTAATTATCGTTATCACGTTTTAAAACATTTTTAATACTGCCGTATGTTCTCCATAAACCTTTAAAATATCTGACAGTTCTAACTAAAGCTTTTCACACGAAGAAAATGTCGCTGTATGAAATCGCGCGGAAGCAAGACGACGACGTTAAGGGAAGGATGACAGAGAGGGAAAGACGATAGAAGGAGAGGGCCAACACGGTGTCCAGATGCTCGAACGTCTACTAGAAATTTGCACCACAATAAACGGGGTTTAAAAAAATTCAGGTAAAACATCCTTCGGAATCTCAAAGAAACGTAAACAAAGTTCAAACGCCGAAACTCAAAGTGCAAATCTCCTTCCCTTTCATTTCCCTCTCCGAAACTAAAATTCGTCAGAGCTACGCCGGACAAAAAACGTCAAGGTTGGAATGATTCCGACACGCAAAACCACAGGATTCTTTTTCGGAAGGAACGAATGTGCTTCGGGTGCTTTCTCGGTTGTTACCGCGGAGGTCAGGGTCAGGTATCGCACCGAGAGAAATTGCGAGCGGCAAGTCACAATAGAGAGAGAGAGAGAGAGAGAGAGAGAGAGAGAGAGAGAGAGAGAGAGAGGAGAGGGAACGAAAGAGGAGAGCGAAAGAGAAACAGAGAGGACGGAAGCAACGAAGGAGGGAAGAAAGCAACGGCGAACAGACGAAAGCAAAAGAGCAATGACTCACTCTGTATATCCGTCGGTGTTTACTGACGATGCCGGGACGACAGCACGGCGGCTTCTTGGCGACTCGGGGACGACTGGCGGTGTAGCCGCGAATCCATGCTCTCCTCGCGGAGGTGTCAACTCGCCCGTACTCGCGGCGATTCGCCGTGAGCTGCAACGCGACACACGTCTTGTTTCTTTCCTCTCTCCTTCCTTTCTCTCTCCATCCCACCCTCTCTTTCGTGCACATGCTCTCTCTCTCACTCTTTTGCACGCATTCTGGTATATTTACCTATATACGCATATCCCTCTCCCCCTCGCTCGGTACAGACGGATGATCCACCGTGATCTGGTCGGCACTTCTTCGACACGGCGCACACCACACCGCTAAGCACACCAACGAACACACGCATTCACGCGCGACGATACGCGGGCACGCACTCGACGACGGGGTACGACGACGGCAGGACGTGTCGTCGTCGTCAGGCGTCTCGCGGGGACGGAAAACGTACGGGATAGCGGCAGAGACCGCGCGCGAGGGGGACACGAAACGCGGATCTAAGGACGGTTCGGAGACACCGCGTAACTTCGCAGGCACATCTCGGCGGTCGTCGCCATCGGTTGCTGGCTCCCGCACGAGTACGTGTTACGCACGCGAGCGTGCCCTCACGGCCCACCGCCGAACCCGCTGCCTCGCTCGGTCAATCGCACCACCCCCTCGGTAATTCCCCTCCCCCTCCCCTCCTACTCATTCACTCCTCCGTTATTTCGCGCCAACGCGGTGCCTCGTGTGTCCTGCGGTAATAATTTGTAATAATTTATTGTATCAATTAATAAAAAAAAAAATGGTTATACATATATTTCAAAATTATGTCTATCTATTTTTTACTGTTTGTTACATAATATTTACAAACTTTTTTATGTAGACAAAACTAACATATAAATTATTGTAAATTGAATAAATTTAGTTTTAAAATATTATCTGAAGATGGCACGATAAAGATGCAGAAACATGTAATAATTTGTATCTAATTCTAATTATATTTTACATTATAATATATTTAATTTTATTTACTCTAATTTTAATTGCGAACCATTGACTTGCTTACACATCCTTTAATTTTTTCATTGTTTTAAATCTCGAGAGTCCTTTATTATTTATTTCTAAGTTTAAAATATTAATATCATAATATATGATTTGTTATTTTATAATTTTTGCAGAGTATATATCTTTTCTTTTTTCCTTTATATCAGAGAGAAAAAGAGAATTTCTTCAATTTTTTTTTAATCTTTTATGGCTTAACAGATTGGTAAAATGCAGAATGCGTCCAAAAAGAATAATTCATAAGTAGTTATTTTCTTGATTTTCTCGATACCAAGATTTTTTATAGGAATCAGTTATGGGAGAAAGGAAAAGTTGCGTGTACTATAATTAGTGTGTATGCGATATAATAATTACATGTGGAAATAAAAAAATTACTATCTTCAACGTACGTGATTGCAGCTTAGCAGTATGTGTGAAATCGATGCGGACCTTAAATAAATTTTACTTTAAATATATACCAAATCGCACGCACGTTAACATTCAAGTTAAGACTTTTTGATTACAATCCATTAAAATAAATTTAATTTTTAATTAATTTTCAATATTTTAGCATGAGATAAAAATAAATTTCTATTTCGCTCTTTCTCACTAAAAAAAATTAATATCTAAATAAAAAAAAATAAAATTTCCAATTTTAATTTAAATTTTATTTTCTTACTTATAGATATTAATTTTGTTTACAAAAGAAATTATATATTATTCTAGAATCTCATATTAAAGTGTTGAATTCTATTTAAAAACTCTAAACTTGGAAATAAATTCTAATTAACTGAAACAGGAAGTTCTAACTTTTGAATATTATTACAATAATGTACTGTAATAGTATTCAAAAATATATTACATAATGTATACGATTTAGAATAGCACAAAGCAATTATAGGTATTACAAAAACTGATATAATAAACAAACCACATATATATATTTTTTCTGAAAATTTAAATAAAATATATTTCAAAAATAAAATATATTTAGTTACCTAAATATTAATCTAATATCCTGAACTGTCAATTAAACCCTTTATCGAAGTAATAACCGACTAGGAAATATCGTTTAGAAATTATGATGATTGCGCAATTATTGGAGAGCAATTGCTAGTACTCTGCAATTGCTTGCAATTCTAAATACATTTGTCACGCAGATCTGTTTTTCTAACGGCTGATCGTTTGTCCTCCACACGCAACTGTATCGAGTACAAATCCAGTTCCCCAGAAGGCACCCTGGAGGTCCCTCGGACTCCCCCACCGACTTTTGTTAAAATATCAAGTCGTAGCATCGTTACATTCAGTCCGCTATGCCGCGCGTCGATGGTACACGTTAAACGGGGTGCGATCGAAACTGGTTCAGCAGATTGTTTTAGATCATTTGACCAGAACGCTTTCGCGGATTCGCAGGCGCGCAGTAATTTCCTTTTAAGACGAGAGAGTGTCATGCTCAAATAAGTAAATCTATCAAGAGACACTGCAGGTCTTGGCGCTAAGGCACGCGCAACGATACTATAAAGTGTATTTGGCATTTTTCAGTTCTGTGCGTTTTTCAGTGTTCTTCTTCAGTTTGAATATTAGAAAAAAACAATCCAGCGGAATTAGTTTGAATTGGGCATACATTTGGACAGTTTGACGGTACGTGCAGTAAAACGATTTCTTATTCCACAGCAGCGATCTTTCCGGCAAGCAAGTGTGATCTTTTTAGTGCGGCAATACTCTTAGAAAACCATCTCAAGAAAACAAATATTCCTTAGGTGCGCACAATTCGCCCACTTTCCCCTACTTACACTAAATAAGTATTTACTCAAAATAAAAAATTATGCTTAAATTAAATAAATATGTGTTTATATTTAGTAAATATTTCGTTAGTACTATTGAAACAAATATTTACTAAAATTTAATAAATTTTTTTCCAGTGTAAGAAACAACTTATCTAAGAAGAATTATATGCAATTAGCTAAATCATATGTAGATTATAGTCCACAAGATATGATGTCGCTGCGTTATGAATTAAGTTCAAATACGTAAAAAAAATAAAAGATATCTTTTTTAATTTTTCATTTTACTTCAAGATTTTATATATATTTTACGATTCCATTTTTCGTTTTGTCTAATTTATGTTATCACAGGTGTATGAAAACGACAGATAAACGCGATAAGCAAATAATATAAAAAGGTCTACAAGCCAGATTTTTATGTATTTCAAATTTTTAAAACATACGTTTCGACCTTATTATTAGGTCATTCTCAGTGTAAAGAAATTAAACGCAAATTTGACAAAATAAATTAATAAAACGGTTTACAATTATATAATAATAATAATAATAATAATTATGCAATTTATAGTTACGCAAAATGTTGGTAGTATTTATTCTATCTATTTTCCACACAATGCAATACTTTTTGTTCTAGTAATATTATCGGTTATGTTTTCCCATTGTAACAGTCGTAATAAGTCCATAATGATAAAAATATTGAACACGCTGAATCATTAACTAAATCATCGTTCTTGAATATTGTTCATAAGCTGTACGTGTCATCTGTTATTAAGAAGCATCAGTTATTTTCGTTTCTGCACGGAAAGAATAGTTTTGCTGCAGTATTTAAGAGTTCAACTAGATACAAATCTAAAAATAATTTTGTTGGATCACTAAAATAACTATGTAGAATGCTCAAACGTTGATGACAACGCAAAGATTTCAACATTCTAACAACTAGTTTGACCTATATAGTTATTTTAATGGTCGAAGAAAAGCTATTTTCACATCTATCTAGCTAAAATTTCAGATACGTCAGCATTTTTTTATTTTTACAAAACGATACTGTACAAAGTACATTAATTGAATGTCAAGAGAGACACGACAGCATAAACATTTTCGTTCGAATATTTCGAATAATCTACATTTTAATTCGCGAATATATCAATTTTAAAAAGAATTGTCGTTTATATGTATAGTTAGTGATGTAATATACCAGGGCATTTTTCTATCGAACTATAATTGATATGTTGCTGTGTTTAACTTTTCAATAAACGTCTTATTAACACATTTATTTTATTACATTTCGGAGCAAGCACTTTGCTCAGTACTTCAATTACATCAATGCGTAAAATTTAATGATGTTTATTGGAAATACTTTGGTGATGCCCTCTCTTTCCGCGTAAAACAGCATCCGAGAACTGCCAATTACAAAATTACTTATTACAAAAACCTATTTATTCCAAATGGTAAACATAATTGATATAATTACACGAATTAATTACGATTTAATTACAATAAATTATACTGCAAAGTATTATGTATACTGCAAATTACATCGCACACGAAAGCAAGCGTTTTTCACAATCGCGAGGAGCACGCGTATTATCTGCTACAAGCCCTCGTGCCACTTAGGGAAAGGTGAGAAAGCTGACGACTGCGTGATCTTAAGAATCGAGTTTTTAATCTTTCGTAATTTACACACTAGTAATTTTCACACTAGATAAGAGTAAATGCATTTTCGATGCAATGAGGCTCTATCGTAAATGTTGAAACAACCTGAGTGAGCATTGCGCTGAATATCATTGAGCGACTCTTTTTCTACGTTTGTGGCCGATAATGAGGAAATCGTCAGTACATGCCACCCCGTGTAAAAAGAATTGAATTATTCAAGATACACATGGATTTGCGTGCGTATATATCCGGGTTTAGGTATTTTATCGTACAAGTGTCTCGAAGTGTACTTGACCAAAGGGCAGGTCGCATCGGTTAATTTACATTAGCGTTTAGTCATTCCTTCTTTCGCAGAAAATATCATCGTAAACAGTGAAAAAGAGAGGTCTTTATTACCATGTTAAAACATTAAGCTTTCTCGGAGATAGGCGCGAGAAAATGTCAATGAAAAATTGAATGTAAGATATGTATACATATATGTATGTATAGTACTAATTGTAAGTAAACATTTATTTATAATAAATAAATATTTATTACTCAATAAAAGAATAATAGTTAAACTAAATTAATGAATTTGTATTAAATAAACGTTTACATTTAGTAAATATTTATTTAGAATTATTCAAAATAAATATTTATTAAAATTTTGTTTTTTTCAGTATACATATATATATATATGTATATATATATATGAGTTACATAATTCAAGCAGAACACAAAATCATCATCATCATGATATCAAAATTATATCAAATAGCTCTTGAATAATTATGAATAATTATGAATAATTATTAAAAAATACTTTTTCAGTCATAATTTATTTTAATGTTATTTTGATATTATCATTATTTGTTTGTGTGCTGTCTCTGCTTGAGAAACATTTTTAATAATTCTCATAACTGAAATAGTATATCGTCACGCATTAGTGTTTATAATAGTCAGTAAGACACGTGTGAAGACGTTGGAGATGATACGACTAGTTTAGTTTGTAACGAGTATCAATAAAACGATCACGTTCATAATTCGGAAACGAGGTTAATAATATAAATAATATAAAGTAAATATTTCTAATTTTTGTGTACTGAACTTATTTCTGGAGTTGCACCAACATGTTACGAAACATTCTGTATGTACATAATTTCAACATGAGTTTAAAAGCAAAATTACATGAAGGAGCGAAGAAAGTATGCATCATTTCACAGTCAAAGTTAAACGTTCAACTAATACATCTTCTTATTATACGTATTCTTATTTCAATTAATTTATTTTAGAAATATAAAGTATAATAATTTTTAAGATTAATATTTAAGATTTAAGATTTGTATATATAAAAGTTGAACATCTAACTTTGACTATCAAATAATTTTTCTCATATTTAAGTGATGTAATCACATAAAACGGTCTTATTTCCAAACATATTATTGAAGAGAATGTGATGCAAGTCCTTGAATGAACTTGTTTGGATTTATTTGTACTGCAAATGCAAAACGCGTACAGTTATTGGCCCCAAACTTCCTAATCGCGACCTATTGCGAAAGAAGTTACATTGTTATTCAATGATCCATGCGCGTCAAGTATGCGATAGACTTATGGTTTATCCGAAGCTCCGCGAACCGTGACGCGAAATTCAATGCAAAATTCAATAAGACCACCTACCAATATCGCTAACTATGCTGATATGTCCACGACCGACGACTATAAAACTCCTTACGCAATTGCGTAATACTAAGTTCAACTGTTATACGTTTTACTGATTAGCACATTGTTTCCAAACATATTGGTGCATGTATACGTATTGAAACGTACGCAGATATTTCTTAAATTCAAAAGGAAAATAGGTTAAACTGAATTTAATTGTTTGTCAAATTAGTATAAAGTGTCAACTGACGCATTAATTGAATGGTGCTTACTTTATAGGCAATGCTGTGGAAAATACGTATAGTGTTCAGTATTACAAATGTTATATATAATATATTTCATCCGATATGGTTGTTTTTTCACAAGAAACCACCAAGTATTCCACCAATAACTCGTTCCATATACATGTTGAGTGCCACGAAACTCGCTAAAAAGATCAGAGAGGGAGAGGTAAGATATTTATTACATTTCTATAAAGAATCCTGCTACGTATAGTTTTAGCGATAGCTTTTATCGTTTTATGCCGATTATGTATGATACATATCATGTAATTATGACAAACTTAATTTTATTTTTACAATTTGTTGTAAAAATAAATTTTACTTTGTAATATATAGGAAGAAAGTCAAAAAGTTTATATATACAATGTTTAAATGTATTTAAATATATTTGAAAAAACAGATTACGAGTTGCGAAGTAGTGCAAGAATATATAACGCGTATTAAAGAAGTAAACTCTTTCATAAACGCTGTTGTTGATGAACGATTCCTTGACGCGATAATCGAGGCAAAAAATTATGACCAACAATTGAAAGAGGGCAAATTTGATATTAAAACTTTAGAAAAAGAAAAGCCGCTTTATGGTGTTCCAATTACCATCAAGGAATGTTGTGCTGTAAAAGGTAAGAGTAATTTTTTTATATTGTTGCTTCAACATTTTCATCTTTACATTTCAAAGAACATATATATTTTAAAAAATGCACAGAAAAAAACCGCTATTGTGTGAATTATATTACCCTGGTAGAAATTTCATGCATTTTTTGAGCAATTACTAAACAGTTACACTAACTTCTGTCTAGTAACTGAGAAAGAAAACTACTTAGGATCTTAATCAGAATGTAACACTTTGTTTGCAGTTACTGCATACAAAAGTTGCATAAAATCTGAATCCATTTACTGAATAGAAACACAAAAAAAATATTAAATTGATTAATAAACAAGCCAACTGCTTGTGAAATGGACAGAATAAAACTCTATCAAGTTCTTGTCCATTTCCTATTCAGTATTGGCACAATTAATGAGAATACAGTAATATTATAGATAGTAACTGGATAGGTGTCTAGGAAAACTGCATACATTTCTACCAGGGTTAAATAAGTATTAATTACATTAAGTACACCAAATGCGATTTGTAAAGAATCTTATGTATGAAGTAAATAAACGTTTACTATGATTGCAGGTTGCAGTCATACAGGTTGCACTTTGCCTCGCAAAGGGATAAAGGCAGACTATGATGCTGCGGTCGTCGTGATGCTCAGAAATGCCGGTGCGATACCATTGTGTGTTACCAACACGCCTGAGATGAGCGGTGGTTTTGATAGCACTAATCCATTATACGGCCGCACCTGTAATCCTTATGACACTAGGTATTCGGCCGGTGGATCGTCCGGTGGAGAGGTAATTCAGCTTTAATTATTAAAGATTCGAGAATCGTTTAAGACTCTTGAAGAAAAATTCGTCGTCTGTCCGTATAAAATAGAAGAGATAGATCGAAAAAATAACGTAAAGTGTTATAAAAATAGAAAACATTATATATATATATATAATATGATACTTTCTGTATAATTAGTTGATTAACAATTAAAGTATTATCGATGCTGCGTTTTATCGATTACGAACGCAGGTTATCCTTCGGGTCAACTTCGGTCAACATCGAAATTCTATGCGAATTCCAATTCTTACGCGAGCGAAAGATATACGTTGTCGTTTATTACTCATTACTGACTTTCGCTTAGAACACTTTCCTTTCGCAGAACACTTATAAGACGCACCACCACGAGATACCATTCGTTTATCCAACGATGTATCCAACAAACGAGAATAGATTGAAATGGATTAAAATTCAGATTTTCAGAAATAGGGATTCATGAATGTTAAAATGAATCTTTTTCAATCCCCTGAATGCATTTTTATTCGTTTATAGAAATTGTATAAAGCAAATGTCTATGCTTTTTCAATCCTGAATGTATTTTTATTCATTTATAGGAATTGCATAGAGCATATCTCTATGCCTTTCAATCTAAAAATAATATTATAGTACTTTGTGTGCATTATGAATGCTGCTTAATTAAAAATTATCAATAGGAAATGCAGTTTTTCAATCCAGTTGAATCTAAAGATAATATCAGCCATTTCTGTGCATCGTGAATACTGCTCAATTAAAAATTCTGAATAGGAAATGCAGTTTTTCAATCCAATTGAATAAAAAAATGTTTTTCTTTTAAAATAAACCATAAATGCTATTTAAATTATTTAAAATTATAAGTAGAAAATTTTTTGTTTTAATCCAACTAAGTTCAAAAAAGTTGTAACGTAAAAATAATTGAGCCGTTCTTTTGTTTCTCTTTGATTAGAAGTAAAATGAATGATCGATGTGAACACTCGCAAATCAAGTCGAACACAGCCCGAATATTATGCTGATCACGGGGCGCGACATCGGCCAAGCGAGATTAGATTATTCGACTTACGCAATGTTGTCTCATAGTAATGTAAATTGTTTATAACTAAAATGTCTCGGATTCAATCCATTTCAATTAATTTAATCCATTTTCATGGATTTAAAGTACGCATTAAAAAATTTTAATCCATTTTAATCTATTCTTATTTATTGGATAAGACCAGGGTGTCTCAAAATTGGGGAATTAAAATACCACAACAAGACACTGTATATAATAGATGGAATTAACGTATATAATTCCTGTTTAAAACGATACAATCTGGTCTCAATAAAAAGAAAAAATGTTTAAAATAAAAATTCTTATTTAAGGCCGCATTACTTGGGGCAGGTGGTTCCGTAATCGGAATTGGCTCAGACTTGGCTGGTTCTGTAAGAATACCTGCTTTTTTGAACGGCATTTTCGGGCACAAACCCACACCTGGTAAATTAATTTTCTTTACTATTATATGGTATTCCCTTTGTGATCCATTAATAGACTTAATTCTTTTAATTAAATATTGTTGCTGTTTTAAATTACTTTTCGGACACATATACCTCTGTTAAAGATATTAAAAAAATCTCTTACAAAAAAATATTTTAAGTACAAGTTCGCTGATAAAATGGAAAATTAAAGAAGTTTGAGCAGTTATAATATTAGCCATATTCTCTTCTTTTCGTTTTGCAGGAATTATTCCGACTAATGGACACTTCCCGTTCACCGAAGACAAATACTTCCATAAGTTCATGACCTTTGGCCCAATGGCTAGATACGCTGAGGATCTTGGTTTGCTTATGAAAGTGATGACATCGAAATGCAATCACGACCTGCGTTTAGATGTGCCGGTGGACTTGAAGCAAATAAAGATCTACTATCGACAAAGTTTGGACAAAACTCTTGGTGTATTATCCATGTCACAGGAAATTGAGAATTGCGTTCTGAAAGCCGCTAATCATTTCGCGCGATATAATGTTCGTGCCGAGAAGGTACAATGTTTGCAGCCGATATATCAGTATGCACGCAGGATTTAACGTACTTTAATTTGACATTACAGTTACCAATAGAGTGGCCAGTAACAATTACCGAAGTTGTGTTAACGGGATTCTTGAATATAAAGAAGCCCCCTCAAATGCTGCTAGACGCGAGCGATCTCAAGGTATAAAAGATGCAAAATACACGAAGATCAGTATATTAAATAGTTCAAACTTAGACCTTTGTAACTCTTAACGATAGTTAAGTTGGTATCGTTGTATTCCCAGCAAACGAGAATGGATTGAAATGGATTAAAATAGATTCAGATTTTCAGAAATACGGATGCATGAATGTTAAAATAAATCTTTTTCAATCCTGAATGCATTTTTATTCATTTATAGGAATGTCATGGAGTATATTTCTATGCTTTTCAATCTAAAAATAATATTATAGTATTTTGTGTGCATCGTGAAAACTGCTAAATTCAAAATTCTGAATAACAAATGCAGTTTTTTGATCCAATTGAATAAAAAAAAGTTTTTCTTTTAATGACCCATTTTCTTAAAATAGGCCATAAATACTATTCGAAATTGTGAGTAGAAAATCCATTGTTCCATTTAAAAATGCATCATGAATGCTATTTTATTCAGAATTATAAATACGAAATTTTTCGTTTTAATTCAACTGAGTTAAAAAAAATTTGTACCGTAAAAATACATCGTGAATTCTACTCCATTTAATAGTTAAAAGAAACATGAAAAGAGAGAACTACGTAAATATGTACAATAAATGTTATATATGTAAATTCCTTATTTTTAATTAATAAATTAATTGTTTTTATGTTTATTTTATATTAATACATTTCCTTTATTATACAGCTAGCGTATATTTTTTGTATAAAAGTTTTAAAATAATAACTATAGAATTTCGTGTAATTACTATTTTAATTTATTTAAACTTTTACATGTATAAAAATTGTTTATATGATGCTAGCGTATATTTTTTGTATAAAAGTTTTAAAATAATAACTATAGAATTTCATGTAATTACTATTTTAATTTATTTAAACTTTTACATGTATAAAAATTGTTTATATGGAATTCAATTCATTTTTATGTATTTAAAATACGGATTCGAATGGATTGAAAATTTCCAATCCATTTCAATTTTCATTTGCTGGGTTGTCATTGCATAATTGTCATTGCATTTTTTTACTATATATAAAATCCACGTAACGACAAAAATAATACGATATCGTTGGGATCTTTAAAAGTTACAAAATAGGAATCTTAAGGAAGATTTAATAACCTAGCTAATTTTCCATACGTGAAAGTCACGTCACGTACATGCCCTTTCCATATCCCGCTGAAAAAATACGGACATATTTCACTGTAAGATATTACGATAGAGATATTGCAGCCTGCTAATGCAGAAATGCTGCAATGTTGTTTCAGAAGCGGAGTACGTCAATTAATTTATCAACGTTGCGATATTATATATATATATTCAAACTATTTACATTATAAACAATCTACATTATCAGATCGTCTGTTTGTTTTTTTTTTTTGTAAGATCGCACCATTCCATAGACTTTTATAATTAGATTGCTGACTCATTATGATAGAAAGAGATGAACCTGATTCCGAGCTGTACTTGTTTCAGTTCACATATGTGTATGTCGCGTCCCGTCTGTGAAAATCGCATAAATTTGTGTGAAAACACTAACGTTATTATCCGTGTGATTTATACATGTGAGAGTGAGTGATATAGCGCTGTCCAGAGCTGCTTCAAACATAGACACGAAGTCGGCAGTCTATTTATAGACCTGTACACATTTTGTAGAAGAAAAAAAATTATTTTCAATGGGGTAAGTTGTTACACTGTAACAACCTGCACCGATCAAAGTGTAATAACTTGCCCCAACCTTCCATTTTCAATTTGAAAAAACAGATCGAAAAGTACATATATTGATTCAAACAAAATGTGTTATTATAATCAAATGTATATAAAAGAAATATATAAAAGAATAATCACATACCTGTAACTTATATATACAATAACACAAGCGATTTATACAATGAAATATTTACTTTTAACAGTGAAAATCAAGAAAATATACGTAGCGTCTTCTAGTGTTGAAATATGGCGGCTAAACTAAGTGAAGTTGTAGGGTGCGGTCCACTTGACGCTACATATGTTTCGAAGCTTTTGATTGACCAATCAGAAAAAAGAATTTTACTAATTGACCAATCAAAAAATGCTTCAAAACATCCGTAGCATCAAATGGACTGTAGCCGTAGAGTATCATAGAATCACATATAAAAATTCATAAAAATGTGCTGCCACTTGTGGCAGGTAAAAAAACTAACTGTAACAACTTACCCCGTGTAACAACTTGTCCCGGTCTTCCCTACAACTAGATGTAAAATATATACGTTTTAGTTTTGAGTTGATGATGTAAAAGATAGCTTCAGTTTTGTTATCGATTTATTATTATTGCAGCACCATAAGAATGTAAACGTCGAAGTGATGAAAGCTCTATTTGGTCTGTCGGAACACACGAAACAGCTGTTATTCTTCACTATAACATTAGATACGCATTTTCCATTCACAGAATCAGAGATATCGCATTACACGAAGCATGCAGAGGAGATTCGACAGAAACTGCTGGTTAGTGTTCTGGAAGTCTAATACAATTATCGTGTCTGTACAAGTTAATTTCGTTACCAATTTTTTTTACACTTAACTGTCGCTTTCCTTCGTCTGTCCTACAGGATCTGTTGGGAGACAACGGCGTACTTATTTATCCGACCTTCCGAAAGCAATTTCTTCCACAGTTTGTAATATGCGAAATGATGTCAGTTGCAAACTGCGGATTATTCAATATTTTCGGTTTTCCCGCAGTGCACGTTCCGATGGGGCTTAATCCGAACGATGGAATGCCCATAGGCGTTCAGGTAAATTTTAATTAATCAATTCAGATTAAATATCAAAGTTTTTTTTCTGCTTCTTACAATGGAAAAATCTAAAATGCATGAATAAAACCAGAATGGAATATTCAGTTTGTTGCTTAATGTATATACATATATATAAATTTAGGTCATAGCTGCGCCTTATCAAGATCGTCTCTGTTTGGCGGTTGCAAATGAATTGGAGATGGCCTTTGGTGGCTGGGTACCGCCATCTATATCGATAAGCGATTAGGAAATACATTCGGTTTTTTTAAGTAAAAAAATTAAGTAAAAAATTAAGTAAAAAATATCAAGCTGGAGATTGTATCTTTGCAAAGACGAATGACGCACAAATAGAAGATCTTGTAAAGATCTTTATACTAGCAATTCCTCTTACAATATTTCAACATAAATTTGAAAATATGATGTTTCTAAATAAAATATGTATGTTCTCTACTCTGCTAAAGATTTATTAATAAGTTTATATAAATATATTTTATTAATATTATTATGTGTAATTATCGTATATGTAGCAATACGTGAATTCTAATAAATCATCTGGATGAGATCACTACCGCTTTATAATATTACTCAGCATTAAATCTTTGCAAAATTTAATTCGACATATATCACTATGTTCACAATTATTCGGCTTGTACAGTATAACTGACAATATAAATTGTTTATTGTCCGTTTCGTCTGTATTGTTTATTATTATTTTTATTTCGAACGACTTACGTACTAAATATCATCATTATCAACGTAAACAAATCTTGTTATAACATCAAGATTTTCATCAAATTATATAATCAAGATTATTTTTATAGCTTGCAAATGTATGTTAACAATGCATTAGCTTAATGTAAGGAACAACGATATATCTTATCTATTTCCGCTCTTGTTTATAAACAGAATGCCGCTTTAGAATTTCAAAACTTTACCACGAAAAAAAGTAAGTTATATATATTTTTTAAAGTTATAACCATCTTCAATTATTTAGTAAAAAAATTATACAATACTGATAAATCAACAAATGCTATAGAATCGTTAAGAAGCTAGATTTAATAAAAATAGGAATTTTAATATATCAACAAAGAAGTTCTTCGACTTACGTAACTATGACGTAAAATATAATTTACCATACAAATGCATCGTTCGTGCCGTAATATACAAGGCACATCTCACAAGGCACAGAATCGCCAATGCATTCATCGGACGAAAACCTACGTAAGATACGTAAAGATCATAACAAATTTACGCGCTGATTTATGCGACGTTTCTTTCTTTGCGCGACGTAACGCAGAAGTATAATTCTCCTACAACTGCACCGCGAATTCTTCACTTCTTGCGGTCACACGGCGCTATATATGGTTTACCACCATATTTTTCCCACTCGCGATTGAATTCATGCTCTAGAACCTCGGCACCGCGTTTCCTCGTTAATCCAGTCTCATCTAGACTTAACTCGCACATCTGCATATCGTCAATGCCTAATAAACAAAAAAATAATTAATAGTTTAATTGCGTTTATAAGTCATTTCAACGCGCAGTTTAAATGACTACATATTTAGTATATAAATTCACACAGAAATTATTTAAAAGCATCTGAGATCCAGCTTCGACCGTGATAGGCATTAAACTCTTACTTGTGAAAAAAATAATTCTTTGAAATGAAATTTAACATACGTGGTATGACTTAAAGTACATGTAAAGTATAACACAAATTTAATGGCAAGAACATTTCTGTCAAAATACTGCGAAGTCATACAAAATACCAATATAAACTATATTTTCGTACACTGAAAGAAAAGATTGGCTGCTGTAGCAAATTAGATGGTTAAATATGGCATAACAGTTTTAATTGGCTGCAGCAGCCAATTTTTGGTTGCGTTAAACAATCGAAATTCTGTACTGACATTGCGGATAGGCTAACACAACTAAAAATTAGCTGCAGCAACCAAAAATTAGCTGCAGCCAATTAAAAATGCTATGCCATATTTTACCATCTAATTTGCAGCAGTCAATCTCTTCTTTCAGTGTATGTGCGTATAAACATAAAAAATTATTCTGTGGTTTTATTTTTTGTTTCATTTATTTCGCTGTTAGGTATGTTTCATTTATAATTTACATTTTTTTTATATTATGAATACGAAGATTAATCGTTTTTATCTGGGTCAATTGTTGCTTTTGCCTTCAGGAAGTGCATGATTCAAAGTATTATTTGCAATGCAGAGCGTTCGTATTAGCATAAGTAATAAATACATAAAGATAAAAGCATTATGTAATACAGAATTTTACCTGCTACGAGGAGTATAGGCGATTTATCGGGATGAAGTTCCATTTGCCGTGCCACGTATTGACCATCAAAGTGTGCGTACCACCATCCTCTTTTGCCGCCGCCGTGCGTGTTATCCTGTTGCCCGACCGCAGAGGAACGAACGAAAGGAATTCGAAAATATCTCTGAGATGACTCAACTATCTGTTGCTTCAACGGAGTCCTTGGTGTTTTTGCAGCTGGAAAACGATATATTAATTTAAAATTATTCTTTTCAGGCTGGTGAAGATATATACTTTTCAGTCATCACACACACATGCACACGCACGCATCTATTAGTCTATTGTTAATTAATTTATTGAGTAGTGCAACAGAGATTGCAACGCAAAAACTACTTTATAAAATTGCTTTAAGATTCATTGATCTATTCATTGATCTATTCATTCGTTTTTTTTTTGCAAGATATTTTTGATTGAAAAAGATTGGCTG